TAAATGAAAAATCCCACTATCCCCCGCCAAAAAAATGCTAAATACAAAAATGCAACTATTAAACCTTACAAAAAAAGCCCAACAAGCTTAATAATAATAATAATAAAATGGCCGAGAGCCAAGTTACAAGTTCGGGCATCCACCATACCCCCCAGAACGCGCTCGCCTGCGTGCGCGAGAACCTCTGCCAGGGCGAGGGCGCGACGCCAGGAGGAGAAGCCGCTCTTCTGTAGGTAGGCAGTGACGGCCTAAGCCGATGGGGCTGAGGGTGGGGAGGTTGGGGTTGGGTGTGGGGGTTGGGGGATTGGGGGTGGGGGGGTGGGGGGGGTAGGGGTGGAACGGGTGGGGGGGAATGAGTCATAATCACAACCTGGTATGAAAATGGTCGACCCAGAACCATGCTTCAAGAATCAAGAAGGCGGATATCCGCAGCTATTTATGGATTGTCCCTTACTAACCTTCACTTACCCGGGTTTTGATTGTGACACAAATGGGGGTGGGGGGGAAGGGTGGGGGTGGTTGGGGTTGGGAGGTGGGGTGGCGGGTCCCTGGAAACAACGCCAAGTTCTGCGGCCCGCGAAAGCTCTAAGGCCATGAGTTTTAAGTGTCGGAACCTCGAAAGTGGTTGGAAGTGAATCGAGCCCATCGCCCAGGCGGATGCAAACCAGAGAAAATGCTGTGCGTGTGGATCGGGCGTCCGGATTCCGAAGGTACATGCGTTTCTGTCGTTGAGGCTACCCGATTTGTGGATGGTGTAAAGGGAATCAAAGGAAAAGCCTCCATTTTGAATACCCAAGTAACAATGCTGAAGCCTGATCAACTAATTCATGAATACTACCGAAGTAAGTCTGAAGAATGAATAAGAATGAGTCCCATCAACTAGAAGGGTTTTCCAACACGTGTAAGTTTACGATTAGAAGCGCTTCATTCCATCTGCCATACATACTGAACTGCAGAGCGGAATTCACGGGCCCTCTATTAGAGGGAAAAGTTCAAGAGAGGTGGGAAGAGGGATTCTCAAGTTTGCATGATTCCCATAGGCGTCCTTTTGTAAAATAGATGGTTTCTCTGGTAAATGGATGCCATACAACCCATCTAAGCCAGTGGTTTGCCCATCTATTTCTTTCATCAAACTAAGCGATCAGAAGCAGCCCTAAGGGAATCCCACAAAACACAAACAAATCAGGAAATCCAAGAGAATCTAAGGGAATCAACCCTTCCGTTCTCTTAAGCCCCCGCGAAAAGAACAAAAAAGTCCAGTAGTGAAGTCGATGGAAGGGCCCTTTGAAACCAACAGAGGGAAATGTCAGCAAATAAAAACGCCTTTTGGGGCAACAGGGGAAATAAGAAGGTGAAAGGTCGAAATTCGCTTTGGGGTGAGTAAAGAAAATTAAAGGCGGGAGATATCCGGTAGGCGGATATCCCCCAAACGCCCTTCGTAGACGGAACCCCCGCGGAATCCGCAGGTCCCGGCGCGGGCGGGGCCCTGCGGAGCCCAGCGGGCCGCGCCTTGGCTTGGAAGGCCCTGCAGGCGACCAGCACGCCTGAAGAGGACTCGTTTTCTTTCTGGGAAATGGGCGGCTCGTTGGGAAGAGAACCCGAAATGAAAATTCAGTGGCCATCATGTGTTTAAAAAAAAAAAAAAAAAAAAAAAATGTCCTTGCCATTTAAGTTACTCAGGGAGTGCATCCATTCTTTTTTGAGGGTTCCTTTTCTTGGGCAGCTTTCAGGGAGGGTTCATTAGAGTCAGCTCCAGGGTCTGGGGCTGTTGGGGATTAGCAGGTCGAAGTGGGGCCCGGCAAGGTCTCCCTAGACAGGAGCCTCGTGTTGGTGCAGCAAGATAGCTGGCTCGGGCGATGTTTGTTTTTGCTTCCCAATTTGGTGGGTTTTACAGGGAAATGGAAAACCGACATCCTTTCTGGGGGCACCCCCCAAAAAAAAGACACACACACACACATGGGTGCGGCTCCAAATCAAAGGCTTCATCTTTACCTCCATGTACGAAGGTGCCATTTGTTGCATCATCTTTTGAGCCACCGCCAAATCACTATCGTTCACCGACCTCAAAAGAAACGGCCCCTCGGGAAACGACGAGGTCACAACCTTCGCTTGGATTGGTGGAGCTGAATCTGGAATCAAGCATTGCCTACATCAGTGGGCGGGTCGAGCAAGATCACATCGGAAACAGCCGCTCAGCCGGCTAGTACTTTCAGTACTCAGCAAACTCCATCAGTTCATTCGGGCGCTTCCGAAACTAGTCGACCTTGAGAGTCTGAGAGGTTCCCGATTTGTCAATCCGGGGCCAGGAATATTGATCAACCCAGGGTTTGCCCTTTCCACTGAAATGAACAGCCTCCCTTGAAACGGGTTTCTACACTACCAGGGGCTTATTTATCCCACGAACAGCGGAAACGGCAAACCATGGGATGATCAACTCCCCAAGCCTAACGATCCCCCCAAAATCGTATTCATCGCTCGGGGGCTTAGCCCCAAGTTCCTTTGGGAAGAGCCAGGAGCTTGAAGCTTCACGAGGGCCGGCATGCGGAAACCCCCCAGCCATCGGAGGGTGGGGGGCGACTATGGGGGCATCCCTGGAGAAGCGCAGGAAAAGTCCTTCAGGCCTTAAGGTCTGAAAAAATGAAATGGCCCCCTCCACATAGCCCCCCTTTCTTTCTTTTTTGCCTAGTTTAGGTCTCAGGAATCAATTTGGCGGGGGCCGAGACCAAAAATCCTGAAGGCGCGTAAGAGGCGCGCTCCCATTGTCCGACCGGACCTTGCCACGCCCCCACAGCTCCCTTCCATTTGCTTAAGCCCCCTGTAAAAACTGGATTGTCTCCAGTAGTGATAGGTTCCCTTTAACACGAGCAGGGAAAACAAGCAACCTGAACCAAAAGCATATGAAAGTTTCATGGTGAATCTGAGGCCCAAACTGCAACTAGGGCAAAGATACTGTGGATGGACGAACTCCTGCACCAACTAAGAGGCCCTAGAGGGATGATTCCAATATTTGTGTTTTCCCCCTAAAAATGGTCCAACCTCCCAAACAGCGACTAAGTCCACGACCTCTTGAACCGGACATTCTACGGCTAAAAAACTCTGACGTGAGTGGCCAGAGACTGCAAAGGACCAAGCCCCATAGGAAAAACGAAATCCCCCACACCCCCCCCCCCCCCCCTCGCCTTTTTTATGCGACCCGCAAGTCCATAAACTCAGGTGAGGCAACACAAAATCCCCCCACACCCCCACCCACCTCCTCCTCCCAACCTCCCAACCTCCCTTCCCCCCACCTTAACCCCCCCCCCTTCCCCACCTCCCCCCACCTCCCCCCACCTCCCCACCTCCCCCCACCTCCCCCCACCTCCCCAACCCCACCCCAACCCCACCACCCCAACCCCACCACCCCAACCCTCACCCGCATCGCCCTTCAGCGCCGAGGCGCCGAGGCCACGGCGCCAGGGGCCCTGCGCCGCCCTCAGCGCCGCCGCCCCGCCGCCGCGTCCGCCCCCGCCCAGCGCCCTCGAGCCGCGCGCGAGCCGAGGGCGGGGCGCGGGAGGCGAAGCTCGGCGTTTCCGGTGAGTTGGTTCAAGAAAATAAAGACACCTAGAAAAAAAGAGCCCGTGTTTCCATCATTCAACTTTTATAGATAGATGGTGTTTCTTTAAACAAACAAAGAAAGAAAGAAAGAAGGAAAGAAAGAAAGAAAGATAGATAGATGGATGGATAGATGGATAGATAGACATAGCAGTACATACGTAAATGCAATACAAAAATACATACATATAGTTGACATGTGATTCATCCGGGGACCCCCCCTCCAAAAACGTCCATGCCTTTACTCAAGGTTTGCTTGGAGGCCAGCAGGTCAGTTGGAATGAACCCGAACTGAACCCAACTGGTGGTTTCCTAGTGGCGTTTTTTGACACACACACACAAAGAGGCAAAAGCATGTCTCACAAATGAGGGGGACCTGAAAAGTGAACCTCTCAACGAACCTCAAGGGCACCCTCGAAAAACGACCACGCCCGTGTCTAATTGCAGATTTCGAGTGCAAATGCAAGCTGGTAGAGCTACTAAAAGAGCCCGGGCGGTTGGTGTTAATCTCATTTGAACCGCGAGGCTGGTGCAGCGGAACTCATCCAGTCACTTTCACTTGGTTGACGTTGGAAGGGGAGCAAAAGAAACATTTTTTAGCAGCTAAGTGGTTGGTTGAAACACTAAGCCACAATAAGCAAAATATAAAATGTTTCCCAACAACGACCATGTTCACGACTGAAGCCGTGAAAAATCGGTCTCTGCAGTCCTTTTTCGACCCTTTGTGACCATGGCCATGTCGCCCACGTCCCGGGGTTGGACAACCACAAAATTGAGGACAACCAGTACAATTGACTCCGGAAAGAGAGGTGTTGAAAAAGAAATAAGGAAGAAAAAAAGGCCTTTGGTCAGCTAAGGAACAAGACAAACAGAGTATCTCGGGGGGGGGGAAAGAAGAAAAAAGAAAGAAGAAAGAAGAAAGAAGAAAGAAGAAAGAAGAAAGAAGAAAGAAGAAAGAAGAAAGAAGAAAGAAGAAAGAAGAAAGAAGAAAGAAGAAAGAAGCAAGAAGAAAGAAGAAACAAAAAGATACAAAAATAAGGAAAGACAGGAATAATGCAAAAAACGCTGCGCGCCGGCCAGTTTTCACCCTTGGGGTCCTTAAAGGTTTGTGAACCTTCAGAAGCGCTGGCCTGCCACGTCGGACCGTGACATATGGCGGTGGCGAAAACCGTTTTGGGATCAGATCCCATTTTGGTCGGGATTGGTGAATTCACCCATTTTAGAACCTACAGTGGGGATCGGTTGATGTTTAAACACCCATTTTAGGCTTCCTATTTTAGTGGTTGGATTCGTTGATGTTCGCTGGGGGTACGATTTGGATTTTGACCCATGGCCATAATATGGCCATGGGTCTGCAAGTCAAGCAGTGGCGGAACATGGGTCTCGCAAGCTGCATGTCGCCAGATTTTGCTTGAGCACGATCGGATGCAGCCTCCCCTGGTTTAAAAAAAAAAACAGCTCCGGCTGTCAGCCAATTGTTGACAGCCCCACGATTGTGTGGGTTTCATTGCCAGGGCAGCACATGTGCCGACCCCAAGGAACGTAATAGATAAGGACCAATACACTGGGCAAGGCCCGACTGGTCGCGGCTGTCAGCCTGCCAGCAGTTAGCTGGTCTGAGATGCCAGCCTGTAACGTGCCAAGCTCTGGGTAAAAAACTTGTCGCCGCGCCTGCTTCGCAAGAGCCGCATGGCGGTCCACATGGGCAAAATCAGGCCCAAGCAGACCGCCGCTTGGATTGGTGGATACAAATGCGCGCAGTAGACCCCGCAAAAGACGAACACGCCCAAGGCATAAGCTAGAACTGGCGAGGCACACCACATCACCAACAGGTCCTTCACAATCTCCCCGCAGATACCTCGTTTGCTCTGAGCAAAAACAAGATCACCTTTTGCCTGCCAAGTTGCCAGGACTTTGTTTCCACCAGGTGGATGCTTTTTGTCCGAACCGTGTTTCACCAAAGGCAAGCCAGGCCGCAGCTGGATCGTTGGCGGAAATGGAAGGCGAAGGCTCTGGCGAGGGAGAGAAAGGTGGGGAAGACCTTGGTTGACGTTGGAAGGGGAGCAAAAATTCAAATTTTATCAGTTTAGTGGGGATTTCAACCACTAAACCGCAACAAGCAAAAATGTAAAATGTTTCCCAACGACAACCATGAGACCAGGAAGAGCATAATGAAGGACACCGTCACCCAAAGCACCAGCTCAATCCCTTCACCCGCCAGCACCGGTGTGGATAAAATATCCAAGATCGCCCAAAAAGCCGGCGCCGCCATGCCTGTGCTTGAACGTAAAAAGGTGGAGAAAAAAAAACCAACGGCCACGACTGGTGCCCCTTTAGAATCCTCCCACATGGCATCTCCATGGGCTTTGGAACTATAGAGACCTCTTTGCCGCTCTGCCTTGCGAGCTTCTCTGCTTTTTCTTCCAAAAAAACAATACCTCCAAAACCCCTGTCAAATCCCCGGGTGGCTTCCTTGAAACGCCCGCGTTTGAGGCTGCCACGGCGGGAATTTGTTTGGAACCTCCCGGCGCCTATGCCCAGCGTGTCGCCGAAGGCCGCGCGGTCCAGCTTCTCCGAGACGACGTCCGCCACTTCGGTGCGGATGCACTGCTCGAAGTCCACCACGCTACCGAACCTGGTGGGCTGGCTCGGAACCAGAGCTTCGAAGGGGTTCTGAACATGAGCTTCCTGGCTTTTCTGCCAGCTTTTGGCTCAGAACCAGAGCTTCCAAGAGCTTCTGAACAGCCTCCTGGCTTCGGCTGGCTTTTGGCTAAGGAACCCGGTCCCTGACATTTCTCTTTCCCCCCGATGGGCCACCATCCCTGGCTGCCTCTAGTGGGCTGTGGTCGAAATGGAATCCACGAATCTGAGATACAGCAAGGGCCTCCCAAAGACCTTCAATCCGCCGTAAAAAGAGGGGATTCCCTTGTACCATGGAAGTGGGGGGTAAACCCCTTGGTCCCACAACCCTGCTATAGCACTGGGCAAGATTTGAACCTCACCCTCTGTGCAAAAGACGGATACAAGTGCCTTTCTGGAAATAGAACGGGGTTGTGGGGTGCTGCGAAACCACATTTCGTCATAAGGGGTAAACTGTCAGTCATCATGTTGCGCCTTGCATTGACTTGTGGCTTTTCAGTGGGGAAAAACACATTTCCAGTCTAAAGATCCAACCAACAAACATAAACCTTGGCCCACACCTGGGCTAGACAATCAGATGCGTCGATTCTTCATACTTCCTCTACGTCTTCTTGAAGGAGAACCCCCCAAAAACAAAGCTGTGTTCCCTCTTGGTTTCCCTTTTGACACCCAAAAAAAGAGTACCCAAAAAAACACGCTCACCCAAAAAGGGGGGGCTGCGTCTTAAAAATGCTTGGGTGAGAGAAGAAGGAGAAAAAAGAAAAAAAAACGGCCGAGGAACCACCGGGTCATGCACTCGCAGATCACCTGGCGATCACACAGCAATCGCTGGCCGCCCAAGAGGTGGTGCACGGTGCAGCAGGTGCATTTCGTCTCCGCCACCTGGGTTGAGCGATTTGGCTGTGGTCAAAACCGTTTTGGTGGATCCCATTTTGGTCGGGATTGGTGAATTCACCACCCATTTTAGAACCTATAGTGGGGATTGGGATGTTTAAACACCCATTTTAGGCTTCCTGTTTTAGTGGTTGGATTGGTTGATGTTCGCTGGGGGTACGATTTGGATTTTGACCCATGGTCATTTCGCCAGGGGGGCTGGCGTTTGGCCGGGGGGGGCGACCAACCACTGCCTGATTGAGAAAATGTTTGGATGGCTTAAATCTAGATCCTCAATTAGTTGCCCTGTTTCCAACAATCTTTTAAATGGGCAGGTCGCTTGTGTTCAAGGAAAAATCCTCCAGCAGCTAGCCAGACATAAAAGTGTGCGGCGTGCTCGTGTCTTGTTTTTTCTTTTTCCCAGCAGCCTTCAGGGACAACAACTGCTTCTGCATTACCTCCACGGAGCGACACAGCCCCCGGAAGACATGGGCGGCCCCGCAGCCTGCGACCAGCACGGCGCCCACCATCACCGGGACCCGCGCCGTGAGGGGCGCGTGGCGCAGCGGGGAGACGGCGATGGGGACAAAGACCCCGGCCACGATCCAGAAGCCCACGAACCTCGGAGTGATCCAAGTTGGCTTCGGAGGGAGCTACCCTCCCCGTTTTCCATGGAACCTGACCAGCCCACGAACCCGTACAAAACCAGTCAAGCCACGTTTGTGCTTACCCGAACGGCATGGGCTTGCCGAAATGACTTTGTTGGTTTTTTTCGCAGCCCCCACACTGAAAGTGAACAGGGACCAAGAAACCCCCCCAAAAAAAAAAGCCAAGAACTGTGAAGTTTTGCGGTTCTGATCTTTCAATACATGCGCTGGGGAAGTAGCCATTTGTCAAATGTCCAAAAAATGAGGTACACTGTTGGATTGCTCGTGGGGAAGTGATCATTGTCCAAACGGCGCCTGCTAGTTAGGGAAGTCGTCGTGTTGTCAAAAAGATCAACAAAAAGGAAAGAGCGACCGAGAAACGCGCAGGGCCCAGCCAAAGTTGGGCAAATCATCAAAGGTCTCGGGTGAGTTTTGGTGCTTTTGAGGAAGGCTGCAAGCTCGAAGACGCACCAAAGCCTCTCGGTCAAGGTCGCATCCCAAAGCACCAGCATGGAGTCTGACTTGTTGAGGAGCCCGCCAAGACTGCATATGGCCTCCGCCTTCATTTCATCATCCGCCTGGGAATCCATTTGAAAGTGGGTTACGGTTGCTGTTTGATGTGGTAAGCCTTTCTTTATTTTCGGGGATGTTCCACCATGCGTTGAACGCTCTCAAGTTGTATCTGCTGGGTGTTTCTGAGTGTAGCTGTCCCGTAACAAAGCAAAGCAGCCCTACCATTTGAGCGCGTCAAGTCAAGCACGCCTTCACTTGGGTCACCTTTCTATGAGTAACATGCATGCGGAAACATGTGCAACCTGTGGATCCAGGGATGGGTCTAAAAAGCCCGACAGTTCCACTACCTGATTCCTCAATTCAAAGCGCCAAGACAGATTCTTATTTTGCTTACAATGTCCGACACGCTGCTTCGTGCTGGGGCACTCTTCACTGAAACTCTAGGGCCTGCCAGCGCACCCCGCAGCCTCAGAAGCCTCGTCTGAACGCGCCTCTGCCTCCCCAAGCCAACTCTCGAAGCAAATCATCTAGCAGAGCTGATGTCGCTCACGACCATCAATGAAGATTCAACACCTAGGTCCTGCAGAAGCGATTGCAGGCCTAAAGTCAGCAGTTGCTCCGCGACAAAGCGTAACACTGTCTCTGGTCTGCAGTTTGCTTGTGGCCTTCTTCACGCGCAACTCCGGCGAGCCCTGCGACTTCCTGAACTAACATGCGATAATTTGACTGCAGGCGTGTTCACCGCATTGCTCTTTTCGCTGATTCCGGCGCTCTGCAATGCCAACCAAGCTCGCACGCTTCGCCGCGTCGCGTGTGTTTATATAGCGCCCTTGGGAAAGTCCCAGTCAATGGCTCGCCTGGCGAAGTGCGTTCATCCGATCAACTATGGAGGGTAGCAGAGATGCGAGGCACGGCTGGATGCGAGACTGGCAAGGGGCTTTCTCGCGCGAAGGGTGCAAGGTTACCCGTCGTTGTTCCACCACTTCAATCAGAGGCATCAAGACCTTGGTCAGCCCGGGGCGCAGGCGCCGAAAACAACGCATGAGCCGACAAAGCTTCCTTCGCACACTTTGCTTGACAGGCGGCATCTGGCCCTCCGTCTCCACGTCCTCTTGGCGACCAACCTTGTGGCACAAGTTGATGTTGTTGGTTCGCCTCACTCTTCCGCTGCTTCCACCAGATCCACAAGCAACTCCACACCGACTCGGACCGCGGCGGACAACATCGCTGAAACCAAATATCCACATAGATTCGCTTCCGCCAAGGCTTGAGCGCGTTTTGCTGCCAAAGGCGTTGTGCCTCCACCAGCCCCACACACCGACGCGCTTGCCCAGACCCCACATCGCGACCCAAAGTTTCAGCTGGAATTTGCAACGAACTTGGTCGATCTCACAGGTACACATCTCCACGCTTGCTCACCTTCATCCCCCTACCTAGCATCTTCTACAATTCGCCTCGTCGCTCCAAGAGAAAACCAAGCGGCTGCTTGTGTGCAAAGCGTGCGCCGCGTTGCGCTGCAAAGGGTAGAAGTAAACGTCAAAATTCTGCGACAAGCTAACAGGGTCGCCCAGCACTCGGCCAGAAAGGCTTTTATGTGGCCCGTCACGACATGCAAACAGTTGTCCTCTTGAACAACATCACCTCCACCACACGGGAACTATCGGAAAAAAATCTCCACATCGAACCCTGTGTAGCAGGAACGGAATGCTTCGCAACTCGGGCCAGAACGCCCTCAGACCTCCCGGGCCGGTCTCGAGCCTGTACTGCCCTTTTTTCCCACCTTCATCTGGCCCGTCGATCTCTCTTTGCTCCGCTTGACGACGCCGCGCTTGGTAGATGCGGCTTGTCAAAAAAAATGACACGAAACACCGCTTCCTCCCAACTCGCCAGCATCCGGGCGCCATCAAAGAGCCCTCAAACACTCTGCAATGCTTGCCTTCCCTGTCAGCGACTTCCTCATACTGCTGCTTCTTGGACGCCCGAGCTCCTCTCCCCCAACGATTTGCACTTGCGCTCTGTGCCGCCCCAGATCGCCACTCATCTCTTTGAGCTCGTTGGGTCATGACCTTCCCCCCATCTCGTCAGACCTTCCAGCCAACCTGAGGAACTCGCCGACTCCAACGAGACCACGCTCCCAGCCCAAACTCCATGCCTGGCTCGCAGGAACATCACCATCTTGCAACATCGCCACATTCCTGGCCACATTTGCGGTGCTTGATAGGCTGGCCGACACCCTCAGTGCAAAAGTGCTTCAACTGCACGCGCCCGTTCACGCCTCAACCTGCCTTGCTCTGGCTGCCGCCTCCTCAATCCGACCCGCCAGCATTGTCTGCATCTGATTTTGCTGTGGCTGCAAAATGCTCTCATCTTGGGCTTCTACACTAGCCATACTGCCGGCGGGGGGGCCGGCGAAAGGTGACCGGGGGTCAGTTGAAAGGTGACTGGCCGGCGCGCTACCTGCAAACGAATGTAAAAGCCAGCACTCCTTTCTCACTCGGGCCATCATTCTACGAACTGAGTAACATGCATGAGGAGAGGTGTGTGGCATTCTGCAGGGTGCTCTTTTGGGTTGGGTTTAAAGGGAACCAAAGAGAAGCCGAGCTGACTTTTGGCTCTACTATGATGCGAAAGGTTTCTTTTTGGGCCTCCACACAAAAAAGGCCCGCGTGGTATCTCCGGAACCCTCCTTGGTTTGCTGCCCCAAACCACCCTGGAGCATATCTGGGCCCATCGACGCCAAATCGCTTTCAGCAGTTTGCAAAAAAAACATATTGAACCAAGTACGAGCCAAACCAGCCAAAAAGAAATAGATACCAAAAAAAAAGAAAAACCAGATGCCGTCACTTCCTGGCCGCCCAAAAAACAACTGGTCGCTTCCAGCGCCTGGCTGATGCACGCGCGGTCCAGGAAGACCCGTTTCTTCGGGCGCCAGAAGGCGAAGACTCCGCAGCTGCCGACCGCGCCAAAGAGCAGCGCCCACAGCGAGTGGTTTTGAGCCGTGAGCCTAGGGGTTCCGGAAGGCGGGGTTTGGGAGTTTTCATTAGGGAAGAGAGCCACAAGAGATTGGGCGACATTTCTGCTTAAACTGGTTAAAGCACCAACTGGTGGAACCATTTTCTGGTTGCACATCTGGTGAAACAAGAGGATGGAATTCCATACGACAAATCAACAAAAGTTGGTTCAACAGGGATCCTTACATGAAAAACACCTGAACGGTTCAACTTGTAAATGGTGGTGAACCCTTCTTATTTTGGTGTTGAAGAAGCCAGCCATGTTTATGGTGAGGCAAAATGGGTATTTCTTTTCAGGAGCCCTGGACTCCACAGTCGGCGCCTGGGCAAAACGCCCAGCAGAAACAGGCCGAGGCCCAGCAAAGCGCAGCAAGTGCCCAGAAGCACCTCGACCGAGACCCGAGGTGCGACCCGGGGAATGGAATCCACTGTGATACCACCCGGGCCTAACCCCAAAGACTACCTTGCTACTAAGGGGGATTCCAACTTGTATCACAGAAGTGGTTGGCGAAACCCCGAGTGATCCCCAGCCCTGCGCAGAGTTGCTTCACCTTTTGGGTCCAATTGTTGGGGGGAGCGAAGAGAAGTGAGGATCCAACTATGGAAGTTTCGCTTCTTGGGTACTGAAATTCCACCACGTCCTTCCATATTTGTTGGAAGTGGGACGCACAATCGAGTATGTTCTTTGGGCTTAGTATTGGCATCAGATTGGCTTAGGAGTGGTGTGGATAGAATCCACCAAAAAGTCTTTCAAGTCCCAAGCTCAAAAAGTTGCCACAGGAGGAGTTTTTTACCCAAAAGTCGCCAAGGCACCGCCGGCACTCCGTTCTTTAGAACCAAAAGTGTCAAGTACTTCTTCCAGGCTTCTCCGTGCCAAGAGTGGCTCCAGAACTCCTCGATTCGCCTCATAGAAGCGAATTGTTGGTCGCAGGTTTGCCAGGCAAACCTCTACTAGCTCCTCCAGTAGAGAGCTTAGAATAAGGGTACCAACTTTTTTCTGTAGTCTATTTTAGTAGGGGAACCCTCCCAAGCAAAAAAGGGGTGAGAAAGGGCAACTGGCTGGGGGACCTAGTCTAATTGGTGGCTTGGATTGGCAGTTTCACGGTTAAGGAGGGATTTCCCATCTACCCTCTACGAGAACCAGCGGTTCAAATCCCAAAGCCACCAATCCAAAGCACCAACTAAGGGCTACCTGATGTTCGTAAAGAAAGCATGACTGGATCACCAGCTGATCTTGTGGATGCCAAAAGCCAATTTTGGGATCCTATACTTTGATTCAAACGCACTTAGGGATTCCTTAGCAAAATCTTGGTGATTCTCAGGGCTGGGGTTCGGAATGCAATGCACCCTAAGCCATCAGTTGGATGGCGCCAAAAGTGGCATTGACTCAAACTGGGTCGCTCTGCCACCTCGCTCTTCACGGCCAACTCCCGGTCATCGCGAAATCTGAGCGCTGCGCCGCAATTGCCCAGGGCCTTATACGCGGGGATCACCCGAAGCACTTCAGGACGGAGCAGCTCCATCTTCGACATGAAGTTGGCCAGTCGCTCCGTCCTACAAGTCAATGCATCTGGGAGGGCACTGCCCTCGGAACTTTTGTCTGCCTCCGCCATCGCTTTACGATCCGGGACAGCTGGCTGCCTGAGCCAGCTTCGGCCAGTCATGCGCGTCTTGTTCGACAGGTCACCAACTTTTGGGGTGCGTTTGTAAGGGAAACCGAAAGAAAAAACCCTCCCCCCCCCCCCAACCCCCTAAAAGAAAAAAAAATCCCCCCCCCCCCCAACCCCCTAAAAAGAGAGACACATTTATGTGGTGAGTCAAGACTGCCAGAGGCTCCAGAAAGGTGATCGTCCGGCTTCTCACAGCTCGCTAATGCCACCGAGGAGGGTTGCTACCGAAGAGGGCTCCACGTTTACCCACGACTTGGCTCAAAACTCGAGAGCTCGGGGTACGGTTACGCAGGTTTTAGGCCTTTAAATTCCATTTACCAAGTTGGTACCGCTTTTTGAGCAGCCGATTGGTGGGTTGGTTTGGTGCTTAGGTGTCCTGGGGGTGACTTCCCAACAGAATCAGGGGCGTCGGACCCGTTCAAATCCAAAACCACGCAACCAACTACCCCATAATAATCAACCCCAGCTTTTTCATAGGGGTGTGTCCTTGGGTGACATGGGGTTGGAATCAGACCACTTTTGGAGGGGTTGCACCCCCACCCCACCCCCTTGTCTTTCCCTTTGAAACCAAAAGCTACCCGCAGATGTATCAAAAGAATACACAGGTTGGTTCTCAAAATGGGAACGGAACCCTCCAAACAAATGGCTTCTTGTTGGTGGTCCGTGTCAAACCCACTCTCAACAGCCGGAAAGGCACCAAAAGTCGGCTCCCAAAACAATGAGAAGAACAAGGACCAACGGCTCCGCCCACGTTGGCCATGGCCCCACACCGTCCACCGAAATGGATGAGGCCCAAATCACACAAAAATAATGGCCCAAACTTCGCTCAAAGGGTCCCTTCACCCCCATCACTCCCTTGCCCTTCTTCGACTTTTCCCGATTTGCGCAAGATGTGTTCGGTGGTTTTTTTTTATTGTTTCTGTTTATTGTTTTATTGTTTGTTTTATCATATATTTTTCGGTGTTTTGTTTCCCCCCCCCCGTTTTTCGTTCTTCGCCGAGAGGCTGCAGGGCCTCCCACCAGGCATCAGAAGTGCTGGCGGCCGCGCGTGCGTGGAGCAGTCGAGTTCTCGGCACCTCCCAAAAAGAGCAACGGGCTCGCTTTGTTTTAAACAAAAAACACGAAGAGGGGTACCCAAAGAAAGACAGACCATTGGGGGTGCGTCTGTTTTTGAGGCTCCCCTGGATTCTTCGGGGTTAAAGAGAAACAAGAGGGAACCATGGGTCCGACCTTTAAAAATACAGACCGGTTCGTCGTGTACTCTGAGTGTTTGTAGTGAGGGCCCAAACTCGTTCCCTATCAGAATCTCGACTCAACCTAGACTTCCCTCCATTCAAAGGAAGACTGAAATGTCAGAAACCTTCAGCCCCATGATTGTTTCATGAGTCATGTGCAGAAACAATCCAAGCCAGGAATCCCATCAGCGAAAAAAAAAAAAAAGAAACGCCCAGGTGTCCGTCGCCCCCCAAAAAAAAAAACGACTGCCCCCCGGTCTCCCCGAAGCCCCCTTTGTCTACCCTCCAGCTGCTCACCCCAAAGCTCTGCGATCGAACTTCTGCCATCCAGTGAGGAGCGGCACCTGTTGACCCTTGCAGCTGTTGCTCTTGTTTTTGCCATACCTCAAGTCATGTTGTTGTGGAGGAGAACCAGAACAGACAGGTTCACTTCAATATTCAAAGGGAGCAAAAAGAAGCGATGATGCAAATGGTGAATATGGGTGTGGCTCAAAATTAAACTGGAGGGGCAAACCGCAGGTTTTGGTCCATGTTTCCACTTTCCAGGGTTCCATTTTGGGTACCCATGCTTGACCCACAGCCATTTGTTGCTGTTTGTTGTTGTTTGTTCTTGGTTGTTGTGGTTGTGGTTGTGGTTGTTTTGCTCTTGTCATAAGCTCAAGTCACCGCAGCGCCCCTCAAGAGAGGCCCCGAAAGTCGAAAGTAAGCTCACCGGCAGTTGGCGCCAAAAAACAATACGCTGGCACTCGGCTGTTCAGATCTGCTCGAAGCTTGACTTGTGGGTTAGATGCGGAAACCCAACCACAAAAACCAACCAGAAAAACGACAAAACACCGAGGGCTGGGAACCGGCTTAGATTCGGAAACCCAACCGAACGGGAAAACGGCGCGCTGGGAACCGGCTGGGAACCGGAGTCCATGGGGCCCCATAAGTGAGACATCCTCAAAACTCTCTGAGAGGTAGCTTTCAATCGGAAAGTACCGGGCTCCCGAGTGATTTCCCCTTAAAACATCACCCCCAAGGGACACTCATCTTTCATGGGCCCAAAGGTGATACTTAAACCAGCAAAAGGGAAATATAGGGACCCCTGAAACAACTCCGACCCAAAAAAGAGAATTTGTTGAGAACTCACAACACAACTTCAAGAGACATCCATTCCGAAGTTTGCGAGATGCCCAAAGAGCGAGCGCCCGTCGGCCCATTTAGGCGCCTCCATGCTCCTGCCAGAAGGTGAGAAGACTGGACTTGGTTGACGTTGGAAGGGGATCAAAAATTTATTATTTTAGCAGTTAAGTGTGGTTTTCCGTTAAACCACAACAAGCAAAACCGTAAAATGTGGTCCAACAACAACCATGTGGAGACCACCTTCGACCCCTTTGTTCACCCCTGCGAGTCCCTGGGTAGTCTGCGTGACGCAAAAGGACAAAGACCGGTGCGACATGGAGAAAAAGGCAAAACCGGCCAAAAAGGCAGGAACGAATGAAAGCTCCATGGTTGAAGCCATCCATTTTCCATGATCCATCCCCACTGAAGCCAGCCACTTCTGCTTGTTTCGACCTGAAAAATCGGGGTGTCCGTGTCTTTGTTAGAAGGGGATCTGAACACGAACAGCCCCGAAACCAAGCAACCGTTCCAGTGGGCTGATCTGAAGATATCCTCCCCCGGGAACCACCAAGGTTTGTTGGTTGAATGGAGTTGTGCTCCAAGATTGTTGGATTTGATATTGCCTTTGGCGAGTGGGGACCCTCCCCCCCCTCCCGCAAAGGGCATGGAGAAAATCCAGGTACCCTCCCACTGTCGCCATGGAGCCCACACAATTTCCCAATGTGAAGGCAACCGGAAAAAAATGGCTTGCCCGATCGGTAAGTGGAAACATGGGCGCCAAAAACCTGCGGTTTGCCCCCAAACTGCTTAATTTTGAGCCACACCCAAATGTTCAAAGCGGAACCCTGAAAAGTCAAGTTCCATGGTCGTGAACCAAGAGGAAAGTCGTCTATTCCCACGGCTAGGTCCTCCAGTAGAGAGGATAGAGGAAGGGTACCTTTTTTTCTGTAGTCTATTTTAGCAGGGGAACCCTCCCCTAAAAAAGGGTAAAAAGGCACTACCGGGGGACCCAGGGGGTCTTAGTCATCTCTCCTCCGCACACCTGCCAAGGGCCGGCAGCCCCGGACGGCTGCATCGCCCGCCTGACGGGGCGCGCGTCGCTTGGCTTTGCAACAGTGGCTTGCGGACACTCCTTGAGAATAGGGAATTCACTGCGGACGCTCCTTTGGGAATAAGGAATTAGTTGCGGCTTCACAGCTCGACCCAAATATTTACTGAACCAACTCTTTTGCTTTTCCTCCTACCCACACGGAACCTGACGTTTCGGGGTCCTGGTTTCAACTGTTTCCCTTGAAAGGGACCATTTTCTCTGGTGGGTTATCAGTGGCAATGTGGGCAGGAGTACACTGCTGCTTACTTGGTGTGTGTTTTTTTTGTCGGGGAACCCCGTTTTGGGGTCTTTTGAAAGGAAATCGCAGTGAAACCGACCCTTTTGGGGGTCTCCTCAAAAAAGACACACCCACAAAGGTGTTGAAGATGGAAGGAAATGTGTGGCCATTGTGGTAATGAAGGGGCTGAAAGGTTGAATCATGGGTTGCCCACCCCTGTTGCTTTTGCCATGGGAAACCAACCCTTTGACTCGTGCAACTTTCGGGAACCGCTCCCAAAGACCCCGGTGGTTGCGGCTTCGGAAGTCGGTCCCCGCTAAGATTCGTTTTTCAGGTTCTATGTGAGTGGACAGGAAGGTGCCTTTCAAAAGGCCCCTCTATTCATCGACCAGGGAGGTTGTTTGGTCCGGGGTAACTTTCCAATACGTGCGCAACATTCTCAGTGCTACGTGTCTTTGCTACCCCAAAGCTTTGGGGGACGGTTCCGTCACCTGGGTCGCGTCCGATTCACCGCGAGGGAGGATGCGCGCAAAAGGGTAGGGGCGCACAAACGATGGGCTGAAAGAGATTTGTGGGCTTCCGACCTTTGCGGCTGACATCGACTGAGAGCCGAGTCCGACTTGGGGAAATCGACTGGAAGCTTAAGCCTACGTGATCCAAAAGCTGGATGCACGAAGCTGCCATGGCAACGAACGCAAGGGATAAACCCCACTGCCGTTGAAATGAGTCAGGCAACACGCTTCACTGTTCAAAGGGTGCAATCGCCGTGTTGCATTCCCATTGACTTTTGGCACTGCCAACTTTCACCAAGCCACACCAGGGCAATCCAGAATCCCTTAGCCGACTGAAAACCTTCCCTGTGATAAATCCAAGTAAGAAAGTCGGCCTAAAACAAACAAACAAACGAACGAACAAGCAAAGAAGAAACAAGAACAGAATGGACAAGACTTTGGACGTCGGCTTAATCCGAACGCCATACGGCTCGTCAGGGGTGGAAAGCCCCCAGCCTCTTTTAGGGCTTCCTTTGACAAATGTTGCCTTCGGATTAATACCCAACCCTAATCCACAAACCCCATTTCAAAACGACTACAAAGGGAGACCCTTTCGCGACCGAAGGAAAAGAATACGGATTGCCTTTGAGCCGAGCATACTTGCTGGAAGGAGAACCATCCCTGATGAGCGCCGAGGCCAGCTGCCTGCCTGCGCTCGCATCGGCGGCCCGTAGCCCTGGCTCGATGTCTGAAAGGAACTGGACCCTCAAAATTGGTCCAAAAAGAAATAAGTTGCCCCCCCCATCCCCCCTCAAACCGGTTTTG